TTTATGTCTCCGCCCATCTGGATATCGCAGAAGTTGCATCTGTGTCGAAAATCGTTTCGTGTTAATCCTTTGCATGCGAACTTTTTTGCGCTGCTGAAATGCGCTAAGGCATTTTCTTTCCATTTTTAGCATATTTGAGTAGTGGTCGCGCATCTTATAAACTTTTATAGTAAATCCCGTTTATTTTGCCATCTTTTATAACAGATGCTATTGCATATATTTACATTTATTCCAACAACCACCTATTAAACAGCCGCTGCGGGTTTTCTGAGAGAACTGATACGAAACCCCTTATACTCTAGTTCTTGCGGGCGGTTGGGCGTATCAGTCAGTATCACATCGAGTGTTCACACCTTCGGAGCCTTCTCTGCCGTCTTCGTTGAAATGCGCATGCGACAAAAAGTGGTAGAAAACGAGTAATACGAAGGATATGATACAGTATTGTCACTTGCCCGCTTCAACAACTGGTGGAGAACGAGTTTGGCACCGCGCCAAACGCAGCCGCACTGACACGCCCAACCGTCCGCAGCGAACTACAGTATATTTTGTTTTGATATGATGATTTTAGATATGAAGTATTATTCAACTCGGCCTGATGTTCTCCTAAGCCCGAATTTACCGTCACGTAACAGCAGTTTTCGGCGAATGGTCGCCTTTACCGCCGAGATTCCGGTCGGAGAAGATTTTGATCCTATGCGAGATTTGAAGAGAATAGAGTATGTTCACTTTGATTTCTTGAAATCAGCAGCCGCTCTGCATCTGACCACTCTCCCGTTTTTTTTGCATGGAGAGTCACAGCGATGCGTACGCTAAATGATATCATCGTTGTTTTAAGGTGGATTCCGCAAGCTGTTCAGTATGGCGGACCTCCAGAGACACGAAAGTACTGTGTGGTGGCGGCACGTGGTGAAGTAGTCGTTCATGGTGGTAGTGTACATTTTGGTGATGGTATGGGTATGATGGGCTACACATACCTGATGTCACCTGTGGCTACGCAACCAACGTTGGCCACACCCACCAGCAACGGTATCTCCCACAATCGCCTTGATTTCAGTGTTCTAGTTATACACTGACGAGAGCAAAATCATCGCGTCGACAGGGCCACGTTCATACCTCGCGAATTGGGCGGATACCGAGTCGCGCGACTGTGGCCGATCGCGCTCTGCCGTGAAGCAATGGACTATTGAAATGGTTAGAAGAAATTCACACGTGCATGCAGTTGACAGAGAGGTTGCATCGGCCCAATGAATAGTAGAAGAGCGTAGTTGGTCATAGTCGCGCGTTTTGGGGGCTGCTCTAAGGCTGCGTTCATACTTCGGATGACGCGCGTCTACGCGCTGCCGCTGCACCTGCGCTTCATTGCTATAGACGGCTTGAAACGATAGGCGGGTATCGATCGGCGCCAGTCGCTGCTGTTTTTGGGAGAGTATAGAAGAATAGGAAAGTGTCAGACATTGTGATCAGGCAACGCCTACTCTCCTATTCTCCCGTACTCTCTCAGAGCAGTAGCTGCCGCCGATCGATACCCTGCTATGGCTGCGTTCCCACCAATAGCATTAGAGCGCTGTTGCAGTGGTAGCGCGTAGTAATGGGTCATCGCGAAGTATAAACACGGTCAGAGGTAGTTCTCGCAATAACTTGTCAGTCGTTGCAATATCTCTAAAGTTCTCTTCGCGCCAGTACCACTTAGTCACCGCCACGCGACAGCGCGCGCGTCTTCACTTGCGGATTGAAAGCTGACATCAAAGTTGTGATTTCAGTTTACAGAACCCTACTTGATCGCTTTCTTGTTGCGTTAGTATTCGTTTTTTGTATGTTTATTCTGTTTGTTGTTCTCGTAGGTGTTTTATTATCGCCTGTGAATTTTCTGCAAGTCAAAGTAATTTTTAACCTCACTTTGCTTTACATTCAGGGATAATCTTAAAAGAATATTTCCTGAGGAACTCTCTACAAGAGAAACGCGCCAAGCTT